CAGAATCTGTACCCACACCAACCCGTTTTTCTTCCCAAATGACAATGGGTTGACCAATCTTTTCGCTGACCGTCTGAATGGCTTTACCGTCGGCCCATTTACCAGCCTTAGCCATGGATTTAAGCCAAGATTCGAAACTGGCTTGCTTGGGGAAAAATTCAGCAAATCTAGCAGAATGTTTTTTAATGTGAAGGCAAGCTTGCGAACGAATCCAGGCACCGCTATGTTTGGAGGATTCAAGAGAAGGTTGATTCGTGAGGTCCTCATTGGAGAACACGGAACAAGCGCGGAAGAAGCAGTCTCCCTCGGCACCCTGCTCCCAACGTCTCCACCCACGTTCATTGATGGCCTGTTCAGGGTCAACCGGCTCCGTGAGCTTAAGCTTTTTGGCAGGAACCGTGGGCTTGGACTCAGTATCAGCTTGAGAAGATGCATCAATCTGGGTGGCTGCTACGGTCTCATTGCGGTCTCCTCGCGAACGACTGCGATCGCGAGTAGAATCGTTCTGGCCTGAGTCCGCCGTACGGCGGGCATCCTGCGGCCCATCTGCCTTAAGACGGACCGGCACCTCGGTTGTTGCCATCCCTGACTTCTCCTGCGACTCAAATGGCTTAGCCAAGGGCGGTGAAGTTTTTTCCAGTTTGGAGAGCTTACGAGGGGCCGCAACGGGCGTCTTAGGTGGGGGAATCTTGGTAGTATGAGAACATCAACCTGAACAGTAAGAGTAGAGCAAGATTTGCCATCAGAATCCGTCAGTTCATAGATCCAGGTGTCCTGAAGGGACTCAGTTTTAGGGCTCATTCCCAAAAAGACCCAGGAATTGTGTTTTTTGAGAAGAGTCTGCATTTGAGACCAACCCTGTTGTTCGAAAAAGGATTGCACCTCCTCGGCACCCCAAGCTCGGGGAACACCATGAACAACATGTCTTTTGACTTTGTGAGGTTTCACGTCAGAATCCTTCTTTTGGAACCCCAAAGAACTACCAGGACCAAAACGGAAAAGGACCGGTTGTTTGCGCTGCTGCTTCAAAGTCAGGACCCGACGATGGTAGGTTTCATTGGAATCCCCGGGGTCTCTTTGGATCCAGAAGGTCTGCATCTCATCAGGGGCCTTTTTAAGTTCAGTGAAGAACAAACCCTTTTTCACCGCTGCTCTCCTTGAGTTTCTGGACCAAAGTGTCCTTCAACCGAAGGAAGGCAACCAGTTGCTTTCCGATCTTAGGTTTATCCTGCACAGTCCAACGACCACCACAGAAATCGGCGGCTTGGGCGCTGGTGATCTCTGTGAGAGACTGAATCAACTGAGTGGGAGAGTCCTCGTAAGAGTCTCCGAGCCAAGGCATGCGGAAGCACACAGGCGCCGCAACCCTGACAGTCTTCCGTTGCACCTGTGGGGCCGCCGTGACTTGAACTTTTTGGGCTTTAGGCAGCCAGGGCCCTTTGGCCTCACCAATTTGAAGTAATCCAACATGCTCGATTTTCTGACCATGGTGCCCACGGGTGGGGGAAAAGCTGGTGTGGGTAACTCCATCGGAGTCCTTTGCCGGGCCCAACAGAAGGGCCGTGAAGGGAGAAGAACAATTGAAACAAGACCACAAGGTTTGAATCTCTTCCAAAGTATCACGACTCCAAATTTCGACCAAGTTGCCACCAAGAGGCTCGTTTGCTTTCAAGGCAGCTTTCAAACGGGGAATAAACCAGCTTCGGAAGGCAAGTGGAGTCCCAGTCAGCGACCCGCACTCCAGAAACCCAACAAGAGTCCCTGCCGCGTGGCAGTGCTGGGCAGGACCCTGAAACCTTACCGGAAGAATGTTCCCCCCAAGAATGAAGGGTAACATGGTGGTGTCCTTTATTCCACGAATCCGACCGAGGGCGGCTGCGACGTTCACCATCATCGACCCAAGTCCAAAACCCCGTGGCATCAACAGTGTACTGTCTGTTTTGTCCATTGGGGAAGGTCCAAGTTTTCACAACATGGTTGGAAGGAGAAGGCTTAGGAGGCACCTTGTTGGTGACCGCTCGCGCCAAAGGTTTCTTGGTTTTCTTTGGTGGCCGTGTCTCCGGCACGGCATGCTGCAAAATCTGCCCAACTTCCGCCAAGGTGCTTCCTTGGTTTAAGTTTAAACAACGTTTGAAATGGCGATCAAATCCCGAGTATGGTCTCCCGCCAGCTGCTCAGGAGTCTTCTTTTTTCGAGCATTTCTGCGACGAGCCCACTTGTGGATTCGCCCACCAGAAAAGATTTGGGATTTGATGTTATTGACGTAACCATTAGGAAAGTGGAACCACGGTTGAACCGGGGGAGACTCTGAGGCGGCCACATTCAAGCGGGGGGGGCCGTCAGAACGAAAAAGCTGCCGAGTCCTGTAGAGTCGTTGGACCCTTCTTCTGCACTTTAACCGAGGCAACGAGAACCGCCGTTTGGCGACCTTGCGGCAAGGGACCAAGAGAGCCGGAAACCGGTCAACCCGGAAAGTCCGGTCGGGTCGAGTGCCAATTGTCCTGCATTTGCGACCGAAACGTCGATTGGAGCCAACAGGCGCCAAAACCCCGGTGACAGCGCGAGGCCGTTTCTTGTTGAACCGGCGACAGAGCATACGTCGGGCCCTGGAGCGAGTGAAGTGCGACTTACGTGGAAAAAGGTTCATAGTAAGTTGTTTATGACAGGTCAGAATTCCCAAACCAGAACCCATCAAACACCACAAGACGGTCCAAGAAACCCAAAGGGAAAGCAGGCCAGAACAGGCAGTGGTCCAGGGGCCCGGCGAGAGGCTCAAGACCAAATCCCAAACTTGCGGCCACGGAGCAGCGAACTGCCGACGCCACGTGACGTTCTCTGAAGTGGTAGTTTCATGTGGGTCGTTACTCCCTCGATACTGCGGCAAAGGCTTGGGTCAAGCACCACAACCGCCTGTTTACACCATCCAGCTTTCGCTGCCCACAGAAGACTTCGACTGGCCATGCAAGGCAATCCACATTTGTCCTTCGTGGCATCATAGCCCACCAAGGCGAACATCTGACTTCGGGGCACTATGTGGCAATGCTGGTGGCTGGAGATGCAGTGTGGACTGTGCTGTCATGATATGGGCCTCCAAAGCGGAGCATAGCACCTTCTGGACCCATTCCATTGGAAGCTTTGATCCACCACCCAAACGGCCACGCACAGGTGGAGAGGGCATTGAAGTTTTGTACAGCAATGTCACGCAATGGAACCGAGATGCCAAAGAATGGTTGCTGCAGCAGGACCTCCAGTTGGCCATGCTGGTTGAGACACATGTTGCTGGCCCCAAGCTGCTCACAGCGGCCCATGAGATGGCCAGGAGCCGATGGCAGGTCACTGCCATGGAAGCCTATGAAACAGGGCGTGATGGCACTAGTGGTGGGCAGTTTTTCTGTTGCAGGGAGGGCCAATCTTCCTACAAGATTCACCACTTTGACAAGGCTGGCAATGGTTTCCTTGCCAACGTTGTGCAGCGCCAGAACTGGGAAGTTGTCCTTGTCTCAATCTATTTGAAATGTGGTGAAGACTTGAATTCCACCACTAACGCTGCAGTCTTGGGGGAACTTGCAGCTTTCCTGGGTGAGCTGGCGGTCCCTTGGCTTGTCGTTGGTGATTTCCAAGTGCCCCCTGCACAGTGGCATGGACATCAGCTGCTCAACGTCCTCAAAGCCGAGGTGGTTAGTGGAGGTGAGCCCACCTTGCTAAATGGGGCTGAAATTGACTACGTGGTGGCCAGTCGCGCCTTGACCCCTTTCATTGACATCAAGGTCAACTGGGATGCGCCGTGGAAGCCTCACGCGGGCCTCGTGATCACCATCGACAGTTCTGCCCCTCGGCTTCACTTGCCGCAGGTGACACAGTATGCTGCCATGCCCAAATTGCAGCACGCTGCCAAACCATGGGATGAATTCAGGGCGGCGCCAAAACCCTACTGGCTGGGGCGCACCATGGGCCCCAAAGAATTGCAATGTGCAGGGTGGTGTCACAAAGCAAAACAATATGCACTGCAAAACCTGGCAGAGCCTCGCTGTGGCAGAGGGTGGTATCTGGCGATTGAGCTCAAGCCATTGCCCATGGTTCGTTTTGCGCGCTATGAGAAAGCAAGGCCTGAGCGTGAAGACCTCGCTGGCAACTACCTTGTCGATCTGGATCACGATGTGGGCTATGGCCCTGCAAGCGGGCCAGTCTTGCCTGCTCTAGACACCCACCCAACCATATACTCCTTCCAAGGTGGCCGGCTTCTCTTACCACAGGAGCTACTTGCTGCTCAAGGTGTCGACATGTTTCCAGCCATGGCCGTCACTCGGCCTGTCTCTCCGTTGCGGGATGTGTTCAGTTCCTTCTCCGCAAACGATCTACGTTTTTTTTGCTGGGAACTCCATGCACGTTCCAACCTTGGGTGCTTGGCTGATGTACGCGATGGGAAATGTCTTGCCTCGCTCAAGCTTAGAGCGCCTGCCTAGAGCGTTGGGTGATTGTAACTCTGAGGAGTCGGATGAGTTGGAAGCTCTCGGAGGGTGATTTCTTCTGAGCCGACAGAGCATAATTTTGGCAGAACCCTTTTCTGCTTTGCGCGCCAAGCTTTATGTTGCGTATTTGCTCCCAAGTTCAAGTTGTCCTAGAACCTTGATGAAGAGATTCGGCGCTGGCAGGCAGAGAGGTGAATTCCAAGTATGTCTGAACTGCACCTTTTTGTTGCTCCCCACATATGTTCATTCACAGCAGCCGTTCAAAGTTGGTTACAGTAGAGGTGCTGGTTCCCTATCCCAGTGCAATTGAGTTGCGCAATATCGGCCACTGAATGTGGGAAAAGAGTTGCTTGTATCAACCAAACCATTTGATTCAGTTTTCTGTCCATGGACACGCTGTGAGCACCAGCCCATATCGCAACTGTTTGACAAGCAAATCGTTTCAAAGAGTTTTGCGATTGAACGCTTTTTAATTGCAGTGTTTTGGTTGAAGACCCGGGGGCCCCACTGTGCTTTTAGCCCCGCGCGACGATGGCGGACCCAGATTTCGACTTTGATGTGCCTGCTACAGAGGGCTCTTCAGTTGGTGGAGCCAGTGCCAAGCGCTCCGGAAAGTCTCAGGCCTCGGATGGCAAGCCAAAGATTTGCCTTTTCCCTGGCTGCGATTCTGACCCAAAAGCCAATCGGAGGCATTGTGGCCATCATCACAGGCATTTGGACAACATGAGAAACCAAATCATGAAGGAAAAGGGTGCTGAGTCTGTGAAGATTTGGGTTGAGAAGTGTAAGGACCCGGACTTTGCCAACTCCCAGATTGAGTATATGGCCAAGAAGTGCGTTGGACTAGCGATGTTTGCTCGGGCGCCTTTGATTGACTTCGTCCAGTGGGAGCAGGAATTTGGAGTCATGGTGTCAACCAAGTCTGCTAACCAGACTCAGCCTTTCGAGGAAGAGCAGTGGATCCTCCGCCAAGTCAACAAGTTTGGGCGCCAGAGAGAGGACATGGTCGTTGAATGGAAGCAAAAGCTGGCAGGCCCATGGAAGCGTGACTACTTGGGATACAAAGGTGCTCTCCGACTTTGGCTGCCTGCAAAAGAGTTCGAAGAGAAGGCTGAGACCAACTTCATCAAAGGAGCTTCCCATGAAGTTTCCAAGCAGAAAAAGAAGCCGAAGCAGTTTGAGACTGAGGCGTTCAGAGCTCATGCCAAGGAGGCTGGTTTCAATCATGGCCATGCTTTTTTGGGGGGCCATGTGGACACCGGAGATGATGCTGAGGAGGAGTGTGAAGCAATGGAAATTCAAAAACTACCTGAGAAAGGTGCTTCAGTGAAGCGAAAGGCCTGTGCGGAAACCCTTGATGCCTCCGAAGATGAGGAAGAGGCTGCCACCGGCAAGGCCTCTCAAAAACCAAAGAAGGCACGCAAGGGAGGCAACGGTTCAGGTGCTCGCGCAGCCTTGTTTGATGCTCTTTCCAAGCAGCTTTTGGCGAAGCACACTAGCTTAGTTGCCAGAAAAGAGGAGGCTGAGAAGGCTGTCAAGACAGAGGCAGATGCCCCTCGACCCGAAGCTGCAACAGATGTCACGACCCGGAAGCTTTACAATGAGGCTTTGGATGCGAATCTCCGGATGGTAAAGGCATGGCTGGATGCAAAGCACTTGAAGGAATGCATTGTAGCCTTCAACAAAGAAGTGACGGACAGTGGAAAGGCCGATCAAGTAGTAGATGCAGACGCGGCCGACACTTTGACCGCGCAGTCGCCTGGTTTCAAGTGGGCTGTGGACGCAGCAGGTTCTTCAGTGAGTATGGCCCGCAAACACCTGCTTCGGCCTTTCGCCTTCATGCAGGAATTCGTGGGCGGAATCCCTGACGGTCCAGTTGAGGAGGAAGCCTTGGAAAAGATTCGCTTGGCCTGGCGGCGCATGTTGGCTTGCGCCACGCAGTTGGAGAGTTCCATCAAGAAGAGTTCTGCGGATGTGAGCAGGCATGTGTCTGGCCTTGCAGCAGCCACTGAGCGAAGGAAAAAGAAGGAGAAGGACCAGCAGGAAAAGAATGCTGAAGCACAGCACCTGGCTAAAGAGAAAGAGAAGGCCAAGAAGGCTGTGGCCGATGGTGCCGACTTGCCCCACATCTTCAAGCTGACTGGAGATAGTGTCTCGCCTGTCTTGGTCAAGGAGACCAATAACGTCCAGGACTCGATGGATTTGAGCGAGCCCTTTGTCTTGTCGAAGTCTTCCCTCTATGCAGCTTGGACCAACAATGCCACACTTCTGCAAGTCATGACCAATTTTGGGGCCAGGTACAAGAAGTCTCCAAGCTTGGACAGTACTGGGAAGGTGGCCCAGCCGTTTGCAACCAAACAAGGGAAGGAGCCAACAGAGAAGTTCTTTGGCGATGCGATGATGCTGGTGCGAAAGAGCATTGTGGACATCAGCGAGCACACTCCGAATTGGATGTCTACCAGCTGGATGTTTGGTTTGGCGCCCAAGCGTGTGTTCATCGGCTTTGCCCCAAACTGTGCTGCAATGCTGCGGTGCCTGATGTATGGCGAGGTAGAGGTCTTCTGCCTTCCCGTGGCAAAGTTCGTGCAGGCCGTGAAGGATAAGCACCCCTCAGTTGCTATTTCGACCTTCTCAGAGTTTGAGCAGGCTGTCCAGGGATTGGGGTGAGCGAGCACTGTAGGTGTTGGTTTATTCATCCATGAACCCGGCTCCGACAAACAATGCTTTAAAATTTGCTCACAAGTTTGGAACCCTGTTGAGTTCACCGTCCGGATGACAAGACTCTTGTTCAAACCTTGAAAACCCTTTATATATCAACCGCTCTGGGACAGTTTGATTCCCGTGGTTTTTTTTGGTGTCCAGAAGGTAACCACGCCAAAGAGCGCTCCTTCCAGCTCAGCCTTCTGGATCTTTCTTTTTTTTGCGCCCCGCACGGGTTTGTTTCATTGTCAAGCCCTGAGGTGGTGCAGAGCGGTGACTCTGACTTTTGGACAAAGCTTGGTTTGAAGCCTTGGTTCCACAACCTGAAGAAGGAAGAGATCATGTTTACCCCTACAGGCCACATGGTCATCGAGAAGACCGGACAGGCATCGATGATCTATGGTGCGCGCAAGAGCTTCATCATCGCGGACAAGGATGCTGCTGACAACTACACTTGCTGCAAAGACCTGATGCATAAAGATGGGAAGGATGTGGAGAGGATGGACCAAGTCCTTCAGTGCCTGAAGGGTTGCTCACAGGCTGCCGCTGTGCCGCTGACCGCGTGCAAATCGGAAGCCACACATGAGTGAGGCTCATCTGCCCGGTAGGATGCGGGGTTTTGATTTTGAATGCCACATGGAGTGGCAGTGCTTTGAGAAGCGCATCATACCTTGCGCCAGGGGTGCGTGCGAAGGAACACCTTGAGCGAAGAGACGGCGAAAACTTTGGTTCAGCAGGTTTTGCAGTTCATGTCCGTTTCATTTGCTGCAAGCGCCTGTCAAGTGATTTCTTTTCTTCCGTTTTCCTTTATTACTTTACAATGCCTTATGAACATAATCTTAGGACAGCCTCACTCGCATCGAGTGTGAGTTGAGCGTTTCTCAATTTCAGTGAGCTCACCGACGGATTTTGTTTTGTGATGTGCTTATATGTTTATACGGATATATGTATATGTATATACATATATATATATATATGTATATGTCTTACCCGCTCATATGCATAGTGCGCCTGCAATGCGGAACATGTATGCGCGTGTCCGGTGAGCCGTCGTCCTGATGATAAAATCTAATCTCGCCAAATCATATGACAATCGAATGACAGCCCCAGCCACAGCCGCCCCAAAGTTCCGTCTCTCTTGAATTGTCTTGCGTGTCTCGCTTGTCTGTCAGCTGAGCGGCCAGATCACGTCAGAATCGCAGGTTGTTGCAGGCTAGCGGCTAGCGGCTAGGCTAGGTCCGGTTGAGGTTGGTAGCAAAGGTCGCTACTCTGTTGGTGGGATGGCTAAGGCCATCGCAAGAATGCTCGTGCCAGCAGCATCGTCCGTGGCAGCTGTGCAGAGATGTGTATATCTGCGAGCGCGGCTGTATAGGATCAGGAAACGCAAGGAACACACAATGCCCTACCCGCAAAAAGCGCAGGGTTTCACCTCCTGCTTTTGTTTGTTCTTCTTTCCTCACCCCTTGCGGAGTTTGCAGCCTCAATGCGTGTAGGGTTTGTCGCGAGGGTACATGTTTGCTGCGTAGATCTATTGAAGAGGGTTCAAGCGCAACGTTGCATTGCAAAGCACCCTTTTTCTAAACACACCCTTTTCGAAGACACAACAACAGCACAGGAGCAAACCAATTACTACTAACCCTAGCGTTTTTGCAACCCCTCGTTGAAGCAGGTAATTTATTGTCTTGCGCTTTAGGGCAGGTGTGGCAGACGTAGAACCATTCAGTATTGCTTTCCAGTGGACCTGGGCGCTAAACCAACGTAAATGGGAAGAGTGCTTCTCATGAAAGGACTTTCAGCTCCCCCTTCGACGCTTTGAAGAAAAAGGAAAAGAAGGGAGCTGCTCACTGCAATCTGTCGCTTGCGGTTGAAGCCTGGCAGTGGTTGAGGTCCAGTAGCGCCCACGGCGATCGGGAACTAGCGGTTGAGGTCCGGCAGTGCCAAGCACAGCCAGCACAACAGCCAGCACCAGCTCACAGACCTACAGGTCGTTTTGTTCTTTTTTTTAATGATTCGTATTGATGACCTGGCAGGTGCCAGGCTCTTGTTTCGTTCGACTCAGCAAGAGCCGCCTTTGCAACAGTGACCTGGGAAATCCCAGGCTCTTGTTTCGACTCTCCGAGAGCCAACTCATGCAAATCCAATTCGGTGTAATTAGTGCTAATTGAATCACTTTTGAATTCATTTTTGTCGCTTTTTTTGCTTGTTTTGTATTCTTTTTTGTTTTTCCCCTGGTTTACAAAAACCAGCTGCGCCAAATTCATGGCTGCTGCGAGTGCTCTGCACCGTGGCCAAACCACGGCCCACTTGCGCCAAGCGGTCCAACCTCCGGGGGCGCACTCTTGCAAGCGCACCGGAACAACCCAGCTCCACTTTCGAGAGTGAGAGGACCAGAACGAACATGAGCTCACATTACTATGCCTCCACCACCGACCTGCTCTTGCAGAACCTGAGTTATGGTGGTGGGAAATCCCAGCTCGAGATGCTACGCCAACGCTCCGTGGCGTGCTTTCTGCTGGATGTGCGCCTATCTAGCAGAGTTCAACAGAGAACCATGGGGGGTGATCAAAGATGCTGTTCAAACATCCTTGGAACTCTCCGAACCGATGGACATCCAACGACTACCCGGGCTACACCACCTGTGGCAAAAGCACAATCTCAACATGGAAGGAGATGCAGCGTCGCTTTGGATTCACTCCAAACCAGAGTGATGCAGTACCGCTACACGGAGATTAAAGAAGGCGGCTATGTCACTGAGCATGTACAACTGCCCCTCATCGTGGACTACCCCGACGAGTTCCTTTATGAGATGACCTGGCAAGAGTTGATGAACTGCTGGGCCAACCAAGGACTAGGGCAGCGATGACAAAATGGTACTGGTGAGCCACATCAACCGGGCCGTCACCATCGAAGGCGCGGTCACCAAACACAAAAGAGCCCTCAATCCACACGGACCGTAAACGGCCCCGAGCTCCTTAGACGGCTTCTCCAGAGCCAGCGCCGAGTACATCCCAATGGCATACATTTGCCACCGACGAAACCGGTCACTACTACGCCATTCTGGTGTACAAAGACTTGATGTGGATTGCGGATGATGGCGCCACACCAAAGGTCCTGCCCTTCCTGACACCACAAATTGCTGGCCAAATAGTTCAAGTCTGGGGCATCCAGACCTCGGCTTTGGTCACACCAAGAGAAATAGCTCGGGCATTGCCTCCGCTTGAGAGTCCAGACTACGATCCACCGCTGCACGGCACACCGCCCAAGAAGGCCAGGTTTACCCAGGAACACATGAGGTTGAATGTGGCCAACATCACGGCCTTCGGCAAGAACACCCTGGACTGGTATTGGGCAAGAGACAATGAGTCAGATCTATGTGTTGGTTGAAACGCACCTGGACCAACAAAAACATCATTCGATGTGCCAATACTTTGAAGTCCGAGGACGGCATGCTTTCGGCTATCCAGCTCATGCCAACAGCAACAATGACGGTACCCATGGGGGCATCCTGATCATCCATGACACAGCACATGGCCTTACAAAGCTCGAACATTTCGAAATTGACGGGTGTGGATACCAGGCTTTTCTGTGGGAAGCCAAAGCCAGATCCATTCTTGTGGTGGCTGTCTAGTTCAAGACCAACGAGACGATTCAGGGCGCCACCAACTCCCAGATCTTGGCTCGCACTTTGGCCCTCATCCAAGCCACGACCAGGCAATACATCTTGGTCGGAGACTGGAACAACCACCCTGAACATTTCCAAAGCACAGTGCTCAGCTCCAAATTCCACTGGCAGATACTTGCACCTGATGCTACAATGCTCAATGGCAACACGGTTGATTATGCCATCATGCACCAAACGCTAGCTTCCTGTGCCTCCATGACAACAGAATGGGCGGTACCCTGCTGCCTGGTCACATATGCCCTCGAGTCGGAGGACAAGTTCCGGCTGTACCATTAAATTCGAACATCACCCAGGTGGAAGACCTCACTCTCTACGACAGCACACCCAATCAGAGTGCCCGCGGTCTGGCGGATTGGGTGTCCGTCACTGAGCAATACCTCCTACAACAACATCCTTGGGGATGACAGGGCAGAGCATCCAACCTGACCACACAGTACCAACCCTTTGGTACCTGCTAAATCGGGTGGCATGTGGAAGAAAGGGAAGGCAGCCTACTGGGAACAAATCCAGGCCAGACTCAACCTCATTCAGAACCAGCCCAACAAAGCACCAGGGGCCATCAAAGGGCTCAACCAAGCTCTACAACAAGTCCAGCACCACTGGATTGGGGATCAGACATGGGCAGCAGCACTGGCAACAATATAGAGATGATCGAACTTTCGAGTTGCTCCAACACACGCAACAACACACGGAGCAACTCCAACTTGAGGAAGCACAACAGCAAAACCGAGAAGAGTCCTACCTCCAATATGCGGAGTGGATCAGACAAGGAGAAGCCAAAAAACTCAAGGGCCTTTTCCGTTCCTTGAAGGCGAATGAGCTGTCCTGGCAGCGTCCATACAGGGATGTCCCCATGGCTGACCGCATGGGACACAGGATGAATGCGTGGCATGCATTGTGGAAACCAACCAAGGACAACCAGGTCATGACGAGACTCCCTCTTCAAGAGGTGGCCAAACAGCAGGCCGCTCAACTGCCACCGCCCACTTTCGAACAGCTTGGAAAAACCCTGAAGAAACTGCCAGACAAAGCATGGGGCCGGATGCAATAACCACCCAATTGCTCCGCACAGCACCCAAGCAGGCACTCCAACCCCTTCTTGTTGGCATCCTCCAGGCCACGGAAGCAAAGGCAGAATTACCAACCCAACTCACCATGAGCCTTGTGGTGATGCTTGCCAAGAACGAGAAGGTCGAACGACCAATCACCCTGACCAGTGTGCTCTACAGGATGACGAAACCCCTGCTAGATGCATGGCAGCAACCCCTTCCACCCTCCATGGACTATGACAGAGCCCGGCCAGGAGCTACCGCGCTCCATGTAGCTCTGGAACGACTACTCCGGCAAGACAGGACACAAGGCCATCCTTGCGGAGGGTGAACTCAGCCCATGGTTCCATGTCACAACTGGAGTGGCTGCAGGCTGTCCACAAGCACCACTACTGGCCAAGACCTTTCTGCAGCCCATCCTCACCAGGTTCCAACAGGACAACCCAGACCTGCACTTGAATGGATGGGTTGACGATATAGGATTTGATGGCAGCCACACGGATGCACAGCATTTAGCCCAACGAACAGTGCAAGCCTGGCACCAGCTGAGAGACGGGCTGACAGAGGGAGGTTTGGTTGTCAATAGCCACAAAACGGCCTTCATTGTCACAGACAAGGTCATCCACAAGGAGTTGGCCAAACTCCTGAGTCCAAACGATCCACCAATCCAGACAGTGATGAGAGACTTGGGCATCGACCACTCAGCAGGTCGACGGCGGAGGATAGCAACCCTTCAGCAGCGATTCCGCAAAAACAAACAAAGGCGGATCAAGCTACGTAGTCTCAAGCTTCCCAATCTCCGCACACGGCTCCATCTGCACCGAGGAGGGGTCCAACCAGTGGCATTGTGGGGTTTTGA